TTTTGGAGGTTTGGATAATTTAGCAACTTTGTTGTGGGCTTCGAAATTTGTATTTTGGGTCTCAGTCTGGTCTACCTGACTTGAGGGATTGGAACCGTCTCAGTCTCTGTCTCGCTTTCTCTACCGGAATCCTCCCAGCACCGGATAGCCAACTTTGTAGTTTTTTGGGTGGTTTTGGTGGTCGTGGTTCGGGCTCTCGTTGTTCCCAGCTTCCTAATACTTCGTCCGTGCGCCCACTGCGTGTATCAGTTTCTCCGGAGAGGTTCCCAGTGCCAAAGCTTGAGGGATTTGGAATTGCTCCGGGCCTACTGCGCCCAGGCGGACTGAGGCAAGCTGGCTTTCGGAAGTTCAGCCCAGTCCCAGCCAAAGGTCCCAGTTTCTAGACTGCGCCAGTTTTTGTTTGCAAATGGCCTGGACCCTAAGCGAGCCAGTTAATATCAGAAACTCTAGCTACAAGCTGATTTCCCGTGCATTGAAGTATAGACATAGCGGCATAACCGGTTCCTTAAAAAGACAAGTAGCTGCAATGTGTTTTTTTGTAGTTGGGGAGATCTTTTGTCCATGGGCTTCCTGGTTGTTCTTGTTTCTGGCTCTCATAAACAAAGCGCAGCGCTCGTGTTTTTTGCTTGGCATGTCACTTTTCCCCATGGCCATCCTGTCGTCCTTTTCTTCTAAAGCCCATGATGCTCGTTTTTTTTTGGGGGGTTGGGTTTTTTTCTTCTTCATTTTTTCTCGTAAAGCTATGTAATTTCCCCTGCCCAAGCAAGTCTCCAGTAGCCATTGCACCTGTTTTTCATTTCCACATGGCACTTCCTGGGGTGTTCTTCTTCTTTCATTAAACAAATCGCCGAGACGCTCGGTTCTTTTTAAGAGTTGGGGCGAACTCCTTTTTGTTTTCCCCATGGCCTTGACTCACGTCCTCACGTCGTTTTTTTTTTTTTTTTGCGTCACCTTTTTTTTTTTTAATGCATCCCTCACGTCGTTTGGTTCTTTTTCGTCGTAAAGCCAGGATCAGGGTTTGCCTTTTCCACTGTCTGTGGGAGAGATAAGCAGCCCCCCTAGCGTAAGGCCGCCCTTTTCAAGGGAGGCTTTCAGCGTTGAAGAGGCCGCCCCGGCCAGGACGGGCTCTTCTTCGACAACGCCGAGCTGGGCGGGGGCAAAGCCATGGAGCTGCTGAGTGCCGTGCGCCCGGGGCCCCGAAGCCAAGCCGCGAGCCCGAGAGCCGCGATTCGGCGATCGATCGCGCGCCGCGTTGCTCGTTGCTCCCGGGTTTGGAGGCGGATGTTTTGGTGGATCCACACCCCGTAGAATATGAAAAGGGTACTAAAAGGGTACCAAAAAGAAGAAGCTGCAGGGGGGAGGACCGGCGAAATCCACGGAAAGCGCCACCAAACCCATTCTCTAGAGGAAAGTGACACCTACTGCCCCACTCTGCAGGAATAGCCGTCTACGCTGCAGCCTGAGATCTTGGACATGTGGATTTGTGTTCATTGTAGTCTTGAGTTGCCCTCACGTTGCGGTGCTAACTTGAGCATTTTGGTCAAGAAGCATGGAGCCCAGGATAAGCGCAGCTCCTGGATTCGTGGCGATGCCCTGCTGGGAGAGGAGTGGCTGTTCTTGCCGCCTGAGGCAGGAACCCCACGAAAACTGACCAAAACCGCGGCGGCTGGTGACAGGTTCAGAGTGGAAAGACGCTGGAGCAGACTCTCAGGCCGGAACAGAGCAAAAGCAAACATGTTGCTGAGCTGCCATGGCCGACATGAGCTTTTCACAAAGGCTGCGGCATCGGGGCATCATCCTGGAGACCAAGGCGGAACCACGGCGCGTGCGGTGACACGTGCGTGGCAGCGCATGCGTTGGTAGTGCGAGTCAGCGATGCAAGTGATGAGGTCAGGGTGCGGTTCACGCTCCTGAGCCTGGAAGATGCGCGGGTCAGATTCCCAGCGCCTGGAAGTCTCTTGGCGCTCAACGAGTGCCTTGTAGGCAACGTTGGCCGCCAGCGCCAAGCACTCCCTGCTGCGGGTGACGAAAGCGCTGGTGCAGTTGCTGCAGGCGCGATGTGGGACTTCGAAGGTGTGGGGAGCCACTCGCGCTGAGGTTCCGGGCGGTGTCAGCTTGCTGTTGAAGGCCTGTCCAGAGGCCGGGGTGGCTGCCAAGCCAATGTGTCCCAGCTTGAGCTTGCTCAGGGCATCCACAATGTCACCAAGGAAGAGATCCAGAAGGAGCGGCCCACATGCTTTCAGCTCATTTTGGTCCATTCCAAGCCAGGAGCTGCGCGATTTACAGGGCCGCCTTGCAGAGCCCTGGGCAGACAGCGATGAGGAGCTGTGCCTGGAGAAGATGCCAGGGGCGCAGTCTGAGCAGTTTGCGCAATTTATGCAGCTTGACCTGCAGCTCATGTGACCAACACACTGCTTTCAATGTCAACTCAGTTGTTCAGTGGCACCCTTTTCCCCCTTTTCTTTTGGTGGCTGCCCCAATAAAAAATGGTCTTCCCCAAAAAGGGTTCCTGTTGTTTCCAGGGTCACTGAACAACTGAGTCAAAGGTCTGGCATCGCCCGGCAACTTCTGGACTTTGTCGAGCACCATACCAAGCCAGCGGCAGAAGCGGCTCGGGCGCCTAGACAGGAAGACAAGCCAGGCACTCTGATGCTTACCCTGAGGATATCCCCAAGCTCATGGTCGACTGGATGCTGCATTTGTCTGCGCAGGCAGGGCTTCTCGGAATGGATTCCCACTTGCGCCCAGCGAGATTCGCTTGGGCCAGGTTCCTGTGCGGAATGCCATGCCTGCCAGCACCCGCGAAGCACCTTGACCTGATGTCGCTGCCTCTCAAGTGGGCCATGTGACGCTGCCTCTCAAGCAACCTTTCGGCTGTCCTTTAACGATTCTGCACACCGATAGCGCCGATAGGGTTGTGACGGGTCACATGGGAAGCATTTGGGCGTGTCTTTTTTGGGGGACCCCCCGAAATAACGGTGAGATTCCTTTCGAAACCAAAAAGGGGTACCAACTAAACAAAAGACACGCTTCCCTTTGCATTGATTGCGGTTGGGAGTCGACCGCGAAGCAGAACAGGCTTTGGAGCGGGTTTGTCTCAATTCGCGATTTGGACCCCCAAAATGGCTTCCTAGCTTCCAGTGTCCCAAAAATACATACGGGGATTTACCATCATGAGGTACCCTCCAAAAAGCGACTTGGAAAAGCCACCGCCCCCAAGGTGAGGGCTTTGTTTCCCAAAAAGGCTCGGTCCTCCTCACTTTCCCTCCCAAACCCAAAAAACGCGGAGGGTGGGAAAAAGCCACAGCCCCTCCTCCCCCCAACCCCAAAGCCCCCCTCCCCCCGGCCGCGCACGCCGGAGGCCTTCGCCAGCGAGGCGCGGCTGCGGCGGTTCCTGGCCTCCGCGCAGCTGGACCTGGAGGTGCTGGCGCCCTCCGACGCCCGGGGCCCCGGGGCCCCGAGTTCCCGATCCGACGGTCGGTCGACGGGGAGTCTGGGACCGGGGAGCTGAGTGAGGGAGCGAACGAGTGAGGGAGCGGAACGAGGGAGACGGGGAAGGGGGAAAAGGGTGGGACGCGGAAAGGCTTGGAGGTGGAAAAGGAAGGGAAACCTAAAGGGGCCGTGGAGTTCTTGGGAGAACTGTTTGGGGAATGTCATTCGAGCAGGCCGATGGGAACATAGACAGCGACTGGAAGAGGGAGGCTACAAGCCTCCGGGAGAGTGGCAAATGGCACTTCGCGCATCTTGGCTGGACCTGCTTTTGACGTTTTGTCGAACTCGCTCAGATGAACTTACATGTTTTGCCGCTGTAGCTTGAGTTGTCAATATCAAGGAAAAGGATAAAACATGGAGGAACGGACGGTTCCCCCAGCAAGGAGCAGCTTGAGTGATTTGAGGTTGATGAACGTGCCCGAGTGCGCGGTTCTTGGCTGTGGCTCCTTTGGCACTGTCTGGCGAGCGCGGGATGTTCACACCGGCCACAGCTACGCAGTGCCTCGGAGCCTTTAGGAGCCTTTGACACAGCTGGGTGTCAAAACTAACCCACCAGGATATGGGGTGACCCCGTGTTTGACCCACAGCCAGCTGAAAGCTAGGGGTCTCGCCCAGATGAGCTCTCCAAAGCTGTTGCGGATGGGCTTGTTGACGCTGTCCATTCACCGACCCAGTCTCCGAGACCGAGGTGAAAAATGTGGAGTCTTTGCTGCAATGTGGCAGACAGATTCTTTGGGATGCTCAAAACGCGGGCTTCTCAAGACAGGGGACCCCTTTTGGCTGGGTTTAAAGGGAAACCCAAAGGGAACCACCTACCTGGACCAATGGCGGACGTTGCATGATGAATGCGCTTCTCAGACGGTGCCCCGGCGCGGCTTCGCCAAAGTGGCGCAGCGGGAGAGCGAGGTGGCGGATCGTCTCAGCAAAGAGCCGCACAGGCGCCGCGCGCCGCGCGCGTGAGAGCTGCAAGCCATCAGCTGAGTCATAGTCAAAACCGGGCATTAAAATGGTCGTAAGCCCAGAACCATGCTTCACGAATTAAGAAGGCGGATATCCGCAGCTATGTATGGTTGGGAGTATCCCTTACTACCCGGGTTTTGATTGTGGCTCAACTGAGGCTGTCCCTTTGTTGGGAGTTGGCGCCCTCGTTTTTTGTTGGTCTTCGAACCTTTTTAAAACCAGTTCGAGGGTTTAAGAAAAGACGCCTTCAATTGGAAAGCCGACTTTTCAGCTTGACGCTTCGAAGCGGCTCGATCGGACCCAGGGAGGGGACCGCCAGGTGTGTAGTGCAGCTGTTCCACGCCAAGCATTTCCCGGACCTCCGCGGGGGCCCAAGATGCGGCCGTGGTGGTCGTTAAACCGTTTTGGTTGATCAACCATTTTGGGGATCACATGTAGCTGCACCACTCATTTTAGAACCTATTTTAGTGGGGAACCGTTTTGGTACCATTTTGGGTTGGATTGGGTGAATTCACCACCCACTTTAGAACCTATTTTAGTGGTTGGATTGGTTGATGTTCACTAGGGGTACGATTTGGATTTTAGCCTATGGTTATTTGATTTTTTTTCTCGATGCGCGCCGGTTCTTAGCGGCTCGGGAATTTCGTTTCGGGTCGAGCGGGCCAAGGCATGTACTGCTTCGTCATGGAGCTCTGCTCAAAAGGGAATCTGTACCTTTGCAAGCAGAGTGCTGCTTCAGGCTGAACACATGGCCATGGGTCAAAATCCCGTACCCCCAGTGAACATCCCAGTCCCCACTAAAATAGACTAAAATGGGTGGTGCACCTAACCCAAAAATGGATGGCCCTTGGTTTTGACCCACAGCCACATGGCCAAGAAGATTGTGTGATGTCTATTGACATGCACGTCGTGGTTGGCGTTGAATAGTGAAGAGCTTTTGTTGTCCTAGAAACCACATCGCAGGTGATGCACTTTTCTACAGCCCTCGGGTGGCTGTAACTTTCGAGCCTCCGGGTCCCGAAACCTCCGTAAAGTGAATTGTGTGTTCCTTTTTTTTTGATGGTACCGGTTTTGGAGCGGTTTTAGAGGGACCAAAAGGAACACCCACCATTTTGGAGGTCCGAGGGCGAGGGCTGTTTGTCGCTTTCTCTCTGTTCCCAGTTTCTTGGGGAGAAAGTCAGAAACCGGTGGGTGGTTTTCTTCAGCTTACTTTGTGACTTTGATGGTAAAATCATGAAGACTGGTTCAGGCGCGAAGATGCGGGTAAGGCTGCGAGACTGATGTTAGATGCATTCGGAAAACAAAAGCACGTCTTCAGAGAAGGCACTAGGTCTCAGCAAAGGAATGCAAGTGACGGGAAAGACGGGGGATCGGAAGAGAGGAACAAAGACAGGACCGGGCAGACAGAAACCAAAGCAACGAAGACAGATGGCCGAAGCCGGGGTACACACAGGACACGAACAGAAAGGACGATGGAAGAAAGAAACAGAACAAGAGACACATCTGAGCTCATGCGACAGAACAATTCGGACGGGGTCAGAAAGGACAGCGAAAGATTCCGGGCAGCTGGTCAGGCGTCCGAAAAGAAGGAAGGAAGAAGGTAGCATGCCTCACGCAGTCATGGGGATGCTTGTGATGTTGACCAGTGTAGCCTGCTCCTGCCCGCCACTCTTTTCGCGCTTCTTTTCTCTTCAGGCGAAGGGGTCGGCGGATGTACGCATTTACGACTGGCTCTTTCGCTTCACTGTGCTAATGCTGATTGCACTTTCTCGCATTTGATGAACTTTGCGCAGAATCGGCTCGACCGAAATGGTTTCTTCATTTGCAGCAGTTTTCACTGAAGCCATCTCCCTTCAAATCCTAATTCGAAATCTTCTCCGGAGTGCGGATTAGGTACTGAGTGGGTTTGGGTGTTCTGCCCGGTTTTTGACGCCGGAGGCGGTGTCTTTGTTTGCAAGGGGTGCTTCCATTGTGGGTGTAGTTCGATTCGATGCACCGCAGACTGCTGGTTGACTGTCGCTACGCGGATTCAGGATTGTGATTCGATCAAGTGGGTGCAAGACAGGAGGAGGCGGTTGTACAAAATCTATGCATCGAGCCGTTCCAGGAGTCTGAACCACGGTAACCATGGCTGCGGTGTTCAACGGATAGACCCTGTTCCACGAGTCAGAACGCCTCAGGAAGCCTCAAGCCGACACAACACTTCACATGCCGAGGACCAGCCACATCCGCAAGCTGCGGAGCAACGACAGCTCCGCGGGCTTCGGCGAGTATGTGGCCCCAGCAGAGGCCTTCCATTGGATCGGCCAGCTGCTTCTGGGTCTCGAGCATCTCGGCAAGCAGATCGAAATGGCGGTAAATTCATGTTATGAGGCTAAGGAAGCCCAGTGCCCGTTGTTGCAAAAGGGACACTTCAAAAGGAGGCGAGCAATTGTCAGTGCCACGAGCCTGTTTCCTCCCTGTTTTGACACAACCGCAAGTAGGCCAAATACAATGCGAAGAATACGTCACCGCAGTGCTCAAAGTGGTAGAATGGTATTAGACTTACATCGCTCGCTTCTGCAGGCACCTCCACGTCATGAACATGTTGGTTCGTGACCTGAAGACCGACAACGTCGTCCTTAGCGACCAAGGCGGGCTCGATGCGTTCTCTCATTGTAGGCTCACCAGCTTAAAACCGCGGTCTCGACTTGGATCACTTGGTTGGAGATGGCCCCTGCCAGAGCCATGGCGCCATATTCAGCTTGTGGTCCAATTGGCTCGGCTCGCAGGCCGGGCAGACCGCATCATGGCCAAGATCACGGACTTCGGCTTGTGCCGCTTTGGCACAGAGGCCACTGGTGACTGGACCTTCGATGCGCCACCGGGGACCCCGGCCTACATAGCACCCGAGGCCGGGCCGACCGGCCCAACACGCGCGTGGCAGGGACCGGTTTGAACCATCTCAATGAGGTCATCAAGGGCCAGAACTACGGCAAAGCCGCAGACTTGCAGCTTGGAGAAAACACTTGCAGCTCATGAGTCTTGAAAGCGCGTAAGTGCCACTCAGGTACTCCTTTGGTGCTGTCATTTGGGTGATCCTCACCGGCGGTCTCAAGGCAGTGTCGCAGGCATTTGGTGGAATGTGTGACGCAGTCGCAGGTCTTAACTGCTGGCTTGCCCAAAGTGGAGCCACCATGTGCTGAGATGGTGAGAGAACTCAGTTGATGGCGAACAATGCTTGCATTGTGCTGCGTTTGAGGCCCACAAGTGGGACTACTCGGTGCTCGCGCAGAATTGCAAGCTGCGAGCAGCTCAGTCCTGATTCGGGTCTCGCGTCAAATCGCTTGCGCGAGGATTGCAGCTTGCGTGCAGAACCCCGAGAAGCACAATGCCAGACCTTTGCCTTCAGGGGCTGCCAAGGTACGAGTTGTGAGGTGAGACATGAGGACTGGTCCAAGTGATGCATGTCAGGAGTTGGTCTTGGGCCTGACACGAGACGAGGCCAGCGGGCCTTATTTCTGTATGGACGAGCGTCCAGTGCCAAGCAGGCGGAGAAACGACCTTCTCTCCCTTCATTGCGGAGGCACTGGGGGGTAGGCTCAGATTTCATTTGGCATTTGGCACGAGCAGATTGTGGATGGACAGAATCCTACACCAGTTGGGCGGGGGGGGGGGTCCTCTCCAAAGTGGTGCGTGGACTTCGTCCACCCTTCTAGTTCGAGGCGTTTGGCATCAGCCGTGTTGACTCGTTCGGCAAGAACCATACTCCTAACACCATTCGAGTAATTCGCAAGTGCTTGTCGCAGTGGTTTGATGGTTCCTTGCCACGGCTTGCATTCCCGGCACGCCTTTTCTAAGGCACAAGGCGCTGGTGCATTTGAAGCTACCACCAGCTCCAGCAAGCAGCAAGCAGGCGAGACGTTTTTGGCCGGATTCGCAGCGGGTCAAGGGCCTCAAGTTGCTCGTTCTCTGTTTTCTGTCCTCGTGGCTTCAATCTCAAAGTGGGGGGTTGATCAATATGCCTGGCCCATAAAGACCAAGGCGTGCACGTTTCTCATGTGGGACATATCATCTTTTTAGTGGTTTTCCAACCAATGATCCCATGTATCACGGACCTTTTGATCAACCCCCAAGTGGCGCATGGCCCAGGCAGACGCCTGGCTTGCTACACTCTGCTGTCTGTGCCTGCCTCATGGGTTCAAGCGCTGGGGGTTTGAGCAGATAGCAAGTGGGCGTACACCCATCTGTTGTCCATGGGCCGTGTCTTGAAAGAGGGGGCCAACTGCCCCCAGTGAACATCCCAATCCCCACTAAAATAGACTAACATGGGCGGTGCACCTATCCCAACATGGTACCATGAGTTTTGATCCATGGCCAACTCGAGAGACGAGCCACTCGCTTACGTCTCGGGGCAGACATTGAAAAGCGCAAGGTCCTGTGGAGGTCATGGCTGCAGCCTGTGTAGGCAGGTTGCACACGTGAGTGTTCTAGGGGTACCTTCCATTTCCATTCTTTCCAGGGATCCGAATCTTTCTAGAAAACCACCCAAAATCCTGGGGAAATGGCTGTTTTTTTTTTTTTTTAAGAACAATGGCTGAAAAGAATGGGGAACCAACCCCTAGAAGTGTGTCTTTTTTGGGGATTCGGACCTCCGGACATGGTTGGCTTCCTTTTGGTTTCTCTCGAGACTGAATCTTCTTGGTCGCGGACACCATGTTGGTCTCAAAATAGGGGCACCCCAAAAATGGCAACGGATTCCTTGTGGTTCCCCTTGAAAACCACCACACCAAGGGCACCCTCAAGAAAAGATACACCCCTGTGCGGTCCCGGGACTTGGGGTGCGGCACAGGCTGATGGAGGATGGAGGCGGTTCTTCGGTTCTTCGCGTTTGCGCGTCAAGCAGCGGTGCGTGGACTGTCTCAGGCATATTGCTGGAAGACTCGCCGCTGAGGAGCAACCGGAGATGCGTGTGTCTTGCGTTGGGGGGACCACCTTTTGCATGGTGGTGGGTCAAAACCAAGGGCCACCCATTTTGGGGTAGGGGAATTCACCGCCCATTTTAGAGCCTATTTGAGTGGGGCTTGGGATGTTCACCGGGGGCTAACCGCTTCGGCTTTTGACCCATGGCCAGGTTTTGAAGCGCCAAACGCCCGCCGCCCGTGCCGCAGCTTCCGACTTGTCCAGGACGGAGGCCTCGGAAGACGCCAGTCCCAAGGCCAAGAGAGGGGGGCCATGGGTTGCACCACCTGCGCTCGCCATTTTGGGGGGCCATGGAGCTCATCCATTTCCCGCACCAAGTTCAGGTTCACCAGGGATTTCCAGGGTTTTGACCAGCCATAGGCGTTCCAGCCTACAAGCCCTTGCAGAGAGCTCAGAGAAGTCAACGTCAGCCCGGTGTGTCGCAAGAATCATAGCACCAACGTGAACTGAGGTGACCAGGAGCTGAGTAGGCGCGCGGTTGGCCGAGTGTGAGCTTTCTTGTGGCGTCAGCATCAGGTCGCCGGAAACTTCCCGGGGCGCCGAGGCGGCTGTTCGCTGTAGACGGCTCCGTTTCATTTGCTTCAGCCAGGCCTTGCTGAGCGAAGGTGCGACGGGTTCTGCGAAGGCTCCAGGCAAAAGTTGATGTGGCCATGGGTCAAAATCCGGTACCCCCAATAAAACATCCCAATCCCCACTAAAATAGACTAAAATGGGTGGTGCACCTATGCACTTGCCCCAAACTGGTAGCATTGGTTTTGACCCACAACCATGTACAGACCGAGTTTTCCCAGGCTTTTCCTTTTCTCGCTGCTTTCATTTCGCGCAGCACGCGGTTCCAGGTGAAAGCGACATGGTGAGCACCGACGAAGATCTGCCCCTGCCCTTGGAGAGCTGGGACAAAGTAGGCCGATGGAAAGTTTCGGTTGTGGGATCACTCGGGGTTTGTCCAACCTTTCTATGAAGAAAATAGTCTTTGGGGTTCCGCCCTTTTTGTTGTATCATAGAAGTGGATTCCATTCCCCCACAGCCGTGATGGAAAGCCTCGAGCTGACGCCCTGGAATGATTTCTTCGCGTGCATATTGCCCGCACAGATCCGCCTGTGTCGAAGCCGGCGGCGGCCTCTCCGCGCGGGTGCCACGGGTTTTGACGCGAGAAGCGCGGGAACTTGCTTCGCCGGTTTGCTGTCAGGCTTGGTGAGATGGGTTTTTCTCCTCGCAGTGACGAGGACAAGCCAGGCGGGATTTCAGCTTGGCTTGCTGTTCTTCCTCGCTCCTTGCAGCGACCGGGGTCCCTTTTCTTTCCCCACTTCGTGGCTCTACACATCGAGTTTTCCTTGGTAGCGGTGATATTTTAAGGGGAGATACAGGGAACCCGCGAGGAACGAGCGCAAAGCGTCCAGCCGCGGCCTGAGAGTGAGCGGGTTGCTTGTGCTTCGGGGTGGGGGGGGGGTGTCATCCGGACCGGACCAATCCATCTCTCAGGTTTCACAGGCGGGTCGCCGGCTCCATAAAATGGAAGCACGACTCCAAAAAGTGAGCGCGCATCGGCGTACGAGAGCGGCTGCCCTTTTTTTGGAGCTCCCCCCCCCATGGCATGCGGTTCTTTGTTTTGTTTTTCGAACCGTCGCGGTAGCGAGATCGAAGCGTGCAGCTTAAGCCTCAAGAGGCCCATGGAGCCAAGACACACGAAAGAGACCGGACTCCACATCTTCACTTCGAATTTCCTACGAAAACTCGAAGCCATGGACCGCTCCTTCAGTGATGCCTCAGCCTTCTCCACGCGGTACCCGATGTACGTGGCAGCCTCGATTTCGGATTTCGCGTGCCTCCCCCTGGCTTGAAGAGAAGCTTTAGCCATACGCGCGCAACAGATCCAGGATATTCACCATATTTGCACGCATTTGCCAGCAGCCAAGTCTGGAGCTGGCTTGATATTGTCAGCGCTCGTTGAGGTTATACCAGCGACCAAGCTGATGAAGATGCATGGCTGCAAGTGCTTTCAGCACATTTTGCTTGTCAACATGGTAAAAGGTTGGATGGCCTTTGGAGGGTGTTCTTTGCACGAATATACTTAACCCGCTTTGCTGCTGTGACCTTCGTCAGCGAAATGCCATGGAATGCATCCGAGCTGTGATTGCAGCCTGACGACATCTTGGGACCATGCACAGCTTGAGGATGAACAAGTTTGTGATCCACAAAGAGTTGCTGGCTCAGGGAGTGGTGGAGGACTGCTTGTAGAACAGCCACCAAGCTTTTTTCTTGCTGCAATTCTTCTTCCGACGTCAGGAATTTGATCCCAAAGGCAAGGGCAAGGTGATCGTGGTGTCCCATCAATGGCTGAGCATCTCGTCTCAACTTTGTGGGATCGAACCGAAATCCATTTGGGTGGCTCGTGCTTTTTGACGTTGGACCCCCAAACAAATGCTTCACGATTGTCCTCTTGGTTTCCCTTAAAAAGCACAAGAAAAGGGGGGCACCAGCTCAAAGTCTATCACACTCATTTCTTAGATCCTGTCGGATTTCGAGGCTATGACCACCCTGATCCCCAGCAGGACAGCACGGCACGGCACCTCAACTCCAGCGCGCCGAGCGCCGAGCGCCGAGCGCCGAGCGCCGACGGCCCAGGAGCACTTCTTCACGCTGAAGCGAGTCCTTGACCGCCTGCGGAATGGCGAGGTGAATAGGCGGGAGAGGGAGCAGTGAGCAGTGAGGTCGAGAGACGGAGAGCTGGCTGGCGGGTCACAAATGGAACTGGTCACCCCACAATGGGCTGGGGGGTTTTGGGGGGTTTTGGGGGGGGGGGTTGGGATCCGCAGTAAAAAATCCAAGGGACGACAAGACAAATCCGGCTGTTGGACCCCAGAGCTGGAGATTCTGCAAGGGTGGAGGACTACTGGCTGCACAGCATGATGTTCCGCTCCTCGGGCATCACAGCCAAAGCCTCTTGGCCGAGAATGGGTTGCACCTCAAAGCAGGGATGCATGCCTATGCGTGGGTCTCAGCCGGCCAAGGAGTGGAAGGACAACTTTGACAAGACGTATGCCACTTGTCTGCGGAGGAAAAGAAAGAAGCTCAGGTGATATCCCCAACAGCATGCAGTGCTTTTTTTGGTGCTCGCACCACCCCGCAGCCCTCGTGGAACCCTGGTGGAACCCTGCTGGAACCCTGCTGGAACCTGGTGGAACCCTGGTGGAACCCTCGTGGAACCTTACCTCAGGCCCGCCCCGAACCACCCCGGAGCCTATCTGGGCTGAGACCCCAAAGCTTTCAGCTGTTGGGGAAAAGGAAAAGCGCATCCAGCTTTGCGAGGGTCCCATTTTTGTGGTACTTCTGTCAGGGAGAACGAATAAGCATGGACTGAGCTGAATCCAGACTTGATCCAAATTCAAGCGCACTAAGTCCATTGGAGTCTGCCGGATATCACATGGCAAAGAGTTTTCACTATGGGATTGCAGGTGTCCAAAACTGAAAAATCTATCTAGACCACGTGAGTCAAACATTGTGCCTTTGGAAGGATAGGATGCCACAGTCGGCAAAGAAGGCACCCAATTCCTTACCAACACCCGCCTATGGGCTGAGCAGTCGCTGCGCTCGAGAGCCGCGTAAGCCACCTCGTAAATGGGCAGGTGTCCGCTTGAGCGGTGTCCGCTTTTACCCAGAGCGTGCTTCTGCACACAAAAGCACCAAAAGCAGTTGTTATATAACGCCCATAAAGCTACGCAGAGAGTGCCTTTGGATTCTCTGAATGGACAACAAACTCATAGAAAGGCCACCATATTTTGGAATCCCATGGCAAGAACACAGCCATGAAACTGCCCTTTTCATGCGCTCGCCAACCAAAGTTTCTGTCCGGCTGCACCCTTTTCCTTTTCTTCTGCGGGTATCTTGTGAATTTGACATGTCAATTTAATTTCATCAAGCACACGTTGGGCATGGATTGTTTTGCAGATGTGGACTTGTGCGGAATGTTCTCTTGCATGCTCGTCTCATCCACTTCAACTTTTGATCACACATGCGCATTTGTTCAATGTAGGCTTTGCTTTGCAGTGTAGGATGATGGAGGCACCATGGCGCGCTGTCCATGTTGCTTGGCTGTTCGCGGGCTTGGACTGAGGTGTGGATTGACTACTGCTGCATTCCGCAGCTGGAGAGTGAACCGGATCCTGGCACTGTACAGGCGACTAGCAGCTTTGCTGCACATAGTGGGTCCTTTTCTTGGGGGAAACCCCCCAAAAAAAAACCAATAAAACAGAAAATAAAGAAGAAATAAAGTAGACGGTGTTTGTCCTTTTGGCTTCCCTTTAAAGCCAAATCCCAAAAAGGGTACCCTTAACAAAAAGACACGCACACATATACCCGCCTCATCGCAGGTCTGGCTGTGCAGTCCATCGCTGCGTACATCGAGAGGCTCGGATGAGGGGACATGAAGAAACAACTAGGGGGGTCGATCAAGAAGTCCGTGAAACATGGAACCACAGGTTGGAAAGCCACGACCAAGACGATATGAACTTCAACTACGGGAAGGTTACTACCAATTGGATGATATGAATGTCAACATGGGAAAAAAAACCTGGGCAAAACTGGGGGCCCGAAATGGAATGTTAATCAACCCCTACCCTAATGAAACCTATCCAAATTACGTTCGTCAAAGTCTTTTTCACGTGGCTCTCAAGCGAGCGCAGGGCCTCGCTCCTGCTGGTTCTGGCGCCTGTTTGCGTCCACGAGGACTTCGCCGAGCGCCGTCACGCCCGTTGCGCGTCGTTGGTGTTGGGCGTTTTGGTTTCGCCCCGGGGTTGCGACGCGACGCGCCGCGCCGCGCGTTGTGCGCCATGAGGATACCCGGCAGCCGTGCAACTTCGCCAGCTGGCGCCGACGCGGCTGGTGCCGACTGGCGCCCTGACGTAAGTTTTTAAAGTCGTTGATATGAATGTCATTGGTTCCTGCAGGGTGCCACTTTTGACTACCCCAGGGTAAACTTAAACCTGAGGGTGGTTCGTTGCTCCAAACAGGAGCACGACATCAGGAGATGATGAGCGCCATCCTCTCGCCCGATGTTAGGGTCATGGTCTGCACTGGGGCAGAGGCCGGGGGCTTCGGAGACGCAGCGGGGATTCCGCCCGCCGATGCCGGTGATTCCGCAGCGGCAGGCGACGCCCTTCCTGCTGCACCCCTTTGAGGCACCACGTCTGCCCGTGGGCCAAGGCGACTTCAGCTGCTGCGAGCTGGGCACCTTGCAAAGCATCTGGACGGCGACACAGGTTGACCAGCGGCAAACCTGTCAACTCGAGGTTTCTTGTGATTGCAGACGTTGATCGCAAGCATTTTGCAAGTGTTCGAAGCCAACCCTATTTGGGCATGGGTCAAAATCAAACCACCCGGGACCGCAGGTTGCAGTCCTTGTTTCCGGGGGGCCATGCCAAAGTTCTTCCATTTTTAAATCCACACCCATTTGTAGGTTCTCCGTTTGCCAAGGCCACCAAATGGGCGGGCATCGGCTCACCTGTGACAAGAAGCTTTTGCGTGCCACTGTCGAGGAGATGCTGCAGGCAGATTCGCTCGCGGGGTAATCATGCTGATTCCAGCATGATGTGACCGAGTTGACCTGTTGCAAGAGAAGAACAGTTCCCATCAGCGATCGTCCTCCTGTGCATGAAGCCCACCAAAAAGTGGTCAGCCCTCTTTTGTCCGCAGGGTGTGTCCATTTTTCGGAGTTGGTACCTCTTTCTTTTTTTTTGGCGAGTTTTTAGGGCAACCCAAAGAAAAGCCACCATCTTTCTGGGGGTCGATTCCTAAAACCAAGACACGCAGAGCTGCCGTACGTCTCCGTTTCTTGTCGTGAGGCCAAGGTCGTGAGCTTGCAGCGCGAGGGTCTGGCGGCGGAGAAGAACTGGCGCCTTGCAGTGGAGCATTCTGGGGGTACCTTTTCCATGTCCATTCTTTAATAGAATATACATTCGACAACTGGGCCTAACTCCAATCATGCTTTCCAGGGATCCTTCTTTCTGTTCAGGAAGCCATCAAAAGACCCGGAAGAAACCGCTGGTTTTTGAACAGAACGATGGTTGAAAAGAATGGGGAATCAACCCCTGGACGCATGGGAGTTCTTTTCATCGGTTCGCTTGGCTAGGAATAGACGAGTTCTGCAGGTATAGATTGGTTTTGTGACGCACTTGCCGGGGCCATCATTCTTTTCTTCAAAAGGTCGCTTATGGCTGGTTGCGAGTGCCACACACGCGTGGAGCAATTTGCAATAGGCGATGCTTCTCCGGTGCTTCACTGTTGCCTTATGAGCTTTTCCCTTCCCTTCTCTCTCCTTGTTTCTCCTCAGTCTTCATTTTTCTCTGTTTGCTTTCCTGCCCTTTCCGTTTGTCCCTTTTCCGAATTTGCTTCTTCACTCCCTATCTTCTTCCTATCCATCTCACAATCCACACGCTCGAGGACACTAGGTTCTCAAGTCTGATGCACTTGGAAAGTCAGATTCAGAAGGAAAACAACACGCGCGTCTGGTTCCAGTTCAATGTTCTGAGTCTGCCATCGCGTTCCGGTTCACCTTCAAGTAACTTAGAACGGCGGATGAGAACCACCAAGCGAGGAGGTTTGGGAGAAAATCCTTGACGGACATGTCAGGACAAGCCACACTCCGTTTTGAAATTTTCTCAGAGACGGAGAGTTTCAGGGTGCAGCTGCACCACGTCGGGATGGTTTGGATCCTAGGACAATTTGTTCGCCACGAGGCCCAAACGAGGTTAGGTTGAGTGGTGTCCCAATTCCAGGGGTTCAAATCCAAGGCAAGCAATCCAAACCATCAGGAAAAACCTGGGCGAACATGACCGTCGCCCACCAACAGCAGGATGGAAACCTGACTCCAGACACCCATTCCAGGTGGATTTGGTTCTAGTTTGACAGTATCAGACAACAAAAACAGCACATTTCGCGCGGCTTTGCTGACGCTTCGGAGCGAACTGCGAACTCACATCATTTAAAAGCGTCTTTGAAAGTATTCCTTTCCAGGCTCTTTGCTCCGCTTCTTGCTAGTATTTGTGCCTTTGCTTTGAGGCACGCCAGCGTGCAGCGATTCTTCCTGCAAGGCCTCCCAGAGAAGGAGGTGCCCTTTTGCAACTTGCATCAATCAAGAGGCGCACATTCAAGCACTGCCTGTTTCTTGACAACTGGCCTCTCACGAGTCGCACGGTACAATAAGGCATGGCAGATTGCGCCCAGCATTCTTCCGAGCAGGAGGATGTGGAGATTTTGCCGCGAACTATCAGTTTTTGAATTGTGTCCTGCTCAAAGTGTCCCTCTTCAGGCAGCGCTTTCTGCGCGAGCGCTTTGAAACCTGCCGCAGCCTGGAAACTCTGAAAAGGCCGAGCCGGGCATGGCGCATGGATCGCGCATCGCGCATCGCGCATCGCTTGCTGGCCGCGTGGGCATGGGCGCCAGGGGGGGCTTGGCTTTTTTTTACATGCGCCAGGCATGTGGGCTGGACGCGGTATGATGAGACTCGGGCACACACTTCAGGTGGGCTCATGTATGTTTTGTTCTGCATCCCACATGGCAGAGAAATGCAGGCTTCACGCTGATGATGTGTGCAGCGATTTCAGACCACACGGACGCTGTGCACGAGCTGGCTGCACCCCTGGCTCATTTGGCTCTTTGGGACAGCTTGGTGCGCACCGTTGCCTGCTCCAGGCAGAAGACCCGGGCCTGGTAAACCAAGGCCTCAAGAGGCGCGCTGGTTGAGTTGTGGCCAACGCACTGCACGTTTCATCTGCAAAGGCAATTCTATCACCTGGCCTTCATGTGGCAGAACGTGCGTCCGCTGTCGGCTGCGATGGCCTATGCCAGCGTGGCTGCCCAGCGGTCAGTTGTGCAAATGGTCAAAATTCGGGACAGGAGCAGAGTGGCTACGAGTGCACAAACACAGGTGCCCCAAAGGTTAAGCGGGAGTATACCTCGGCGTGTTTATTTTTTTGCGTGACCATTTCGCGGCGTCCGAAAGGTCCTGGTTCCGACTCCCGTCGTGTGGTTTTGGTGTCCGAGGTTGGGATACGGTGCAGGCGCTACTTGATTGCAAGGCCGACCCCAAGGCGCAAGCGGCCAATGGCGCCGCGGCTGCACATCCCGAAATCGGCCGCATAATCTTTGGCCGTTTGGGCCAGACTTGTAACTCGTTTGTTTCTGCACTTGACAGGCACGAGTGCTAGGTATGGATGCGCTCTTTTTCGCTTGCTGCATCGGAAACCTGAAGAATATCAAGCAGTGGCTGGGGCCTTGTCGACTCGCTCGCAGCATTCGCAGACGCCCTCCCCGCGGCTCCGTCCGAGGCTGGTCACCTTCCCTGACTGGGACCTCGAGCGCACACTCCCCATGGTGGGCGTGGATGCTAAGATTCGTCGAAGAGCTGGGGTTCGGACGAGCCCCGGCTCCGAGGTCCCCTGCTGTTTTCTCAGCGCCAACTCGAGCCACCCCTGCACTTCTTTTTTTAGATGGGCAGTATGTGTTTGGTATCAATGTGCCTGTGTATCTGACTCGAACTCGCACGCTGCTCTCAGGGTTGGATGGTCTGGAAGTCAAGTGCAAGGTGCCGTTTTTGTTTTCTCCATCATTTTGGGAGTTGCCGAGGAGTTTTGGCGCACCCCAGGGCGAGTGAGAGCTAGTCTGAGCTCAAACTCAGAGGCAAAGTCAGTTCAAACCACAACGTGTTGCTTTCTTCAGAGTAGGGTGTGAGTATAGACCAGGTTCTGCGCGTGGTGTGGTGCGTCGTTCCTTGCGAAGGGACAATTGTAAACGCTATCGCGTTGCCCACCTCAGCCAGAATGCTTGTGGCTGGCTTTGAGGTACTGCGTTTTGGTGGCGCGTTTCCACATGGCTTGAAGGGCTAGATAGAACGAGAGCCGACTGGGGCCAAGCGAAGCCTAAGGGAATATGCAAGGAGTTCGACCGGTTTTTAGGGGGAACTGGACCGGATTCTATTGACCGGTTTTTAGAGGGGTTTCTGGGGGGAAGGGGGATTTGACTGGTTTGCAGAGGGATTTGACCGGTTTCTATGGGGATATATATGACTGGACTGGGGCTGGTTTAGAGGGGACGGGTTATTCGAGGGGATTTGACCAGGAACCACGTGTTTCTGGAGACTCGGCCCTTCCCGGCCCTCCAAGGCGAATTCTGCCTGTTCCTATCCTTGCTCTTCTATTTCAAGCCTGCAGACATGCATGAAATTGGGGATCAATTCAGGAGACAGTTGCGACGGTGAGTAGAACTGTGTGCCGGTGTGTTTGTTGGCTGCGAGGGTTGTTTTGTCTAAGCCTGCCCGCCCGCCCGCCCGCCCGCCCGCCCGCCCGCCCGCCCGCCCGCCCGCCCGCTCGCCCGCCACCCGCCCGCCCGCCGCCCGCCCGCCCGCCCGCCCGCCCGCCCGCCCGCCCGCCCGCCCGCGCCCGCCCGCCCGCCCGCCCGCCCGCCCGCCCGCCCCGCCCGCCCGCCCGCCCGCCCGCCCGCCCGCCCGCCCGCCCGCCCGCCCGCCCGCCCGCCCGCCCGCCCGCCCGCCCGCCCGCCCGCCCGCCCGCCCGCCCGCCCGCCCGCCCGCCTGCCTGCCTGCCTGCCTGCCTGCCTGCCTGCCTGCCTGCCTGCCTGCCTGCCTGCTTGTGGGGCAGGCAGTCAGTAAGCCAGTGTCTTCAAGAGACCGGCGGAAACTGTGGGGTTTGCCATTCCGGGTGTTGATGGTGGATCCTCGTGTTCTTCCAGCATGGCCTGAGGCATGAGCCCCTTGTGCGCTGCCGTACTGAGTGGTGCAAACAAGGCGGAGTTGCAACCGTGATCACGTGAGCCAAAAATCAAACGCCGGGCAAATGCAAAATTGGTGAGGGCCCCAGGAGTCCCAACCGTAAATGGGTCCCTTCGCCGCCTTTTCTGAACTCATGAGAAGCGGTTCTGGGAGCGAGCATTTTAGTGAAGCACGGCTTGAGGAGCCGGCCTTGCGCGCGCTGATCGAGGCCGCGGCCACTTGCGTTTTCTTTTTTAAGCCGCAGGGGCTGCGGGCGTCCTCACAAGGCCAAAGCGAAGCTCGAGGTGAAGAAGCGCTGGGGTGGCCGTTCTGCGCTGATGTGTATCATTGCACCTTGCCCTTGCTTGGATTCACTTGGGTGTGTCTTGATTTTTGAGGGTGCCCCCGCCTTTTTGCGGTGGTCTTGAAGGAAAACATCAAAAGGAAAACCATTTGAAGCCATTTCGGGGACCCACCCTGTCCGATTGCCCAAAAGGCGGTCCGAGCCACACGCACTTGGTCAAATCGCGTGCCCGTGGCACTAGGCGAACAACGAAGACAGCCAGTGCGACGCCATGAAGGTGCTCATCGACCAAGGCTGCGACGTGAACGCCACGTGGACGGCTCACAGCAGCCTCTTTGCCGGTGCTCTCAAGGCGCTTCCGTTGCAACATGCGCCAGTCGCATCTGGTTGATCCAAAGAAAGGTTTGAATTTCATGGGATGCGAAACGTTACCCTTTGGTCATTTGGGGGGCACGAATATTGATCAACCCCCATATTCTGTGTCCGAGATAGATAGAGCAGACCTGAGATTCGCATGGATGCACTCGCGCATTTTTGTTGGCAAGGCATCTCGGCTAGTCACCAAGATGTTGCCCGACCGACCCTTTGCAGAGCTGGCAGTGCTGCAAGGATCAACCCCATTGCTCCTCGGCTCACGTACTGACGTGGCTTGTGTGCTGAGTGGATTGCAATGAGGGTGGGCGAAACGCACTCAAGGCATTTTGCCGCCAAGCGTGGTGATGCTGAGATGGTGAGGCACGCTGGGCTTTCAGCAAATGTCCAGTGAATCTGTGTACTCTTACTCATTGCAGCAAATCTGTGGTTGGGCAAGAAGACAAGTGCCTACAACTCCAAAAGAAGAGTATGTTGTTTCCCGACAAGCTGATGAGAGCATCGTGAGAGTGCTAGGCTGCTCGTCCGCGCAAATGCTGATGTACATCGGCGTAATGCGCAGGGGCGACGCCCGATTGATGTCGCCTGGATGCAAAAGCAGTGGTTCGACGATGGCAATAATATCCAGCCCCCAGCGGCCATGAGCAAAAAGGGCCCTCGCTTATTTTTTGGTCGTTGCCTTAAAAAAAGAAGCCCTCGAGAAAGACAATTAGATTGTCTGGGTAAGAATGCCACCTTGATCTTTTGCGCCCAGAAAATGCTCTGATGTTCTTCCCTCCGGAAGTCCTTCTGTAGTCCTTCTGAAGTCCTTCTGAGTGCTGAGGTGGCCCGCAGCTTCTTCGGCGGCCAGGCCATCTTTCGCTTGACCTTTTGCTTGAAACGGCGCTCGCGGCCCGAGACCGCCGTGCAGGTGCCGCAGAGCTTGTCGGAAGTGCTGCTGGCAGATGCCGACAACTGGGAGGCCGAGGACACGGCGCGCGCCGGCGCGCAACGGGCGCAACGGGCGTCCAAGTCGGCGGTGCACTCAAAGTCGAAGTCTTTGTCGATGGGCATCCTTTTTACTTGTTTTGGTCGAAAAATAGATGGCGATTCCTGGTTTACCTGGTTGTTTCATCATCTACCAGGGCCATCTATTTCCCCTAAAAGGACACCTGTGTCGATGGGAGGACCTGCCGCGGCTGAAGCTGAAGTACCTGCCCCACGCCATGGTTCACCAGGCAGCGATTGGCGGGAACCCACTTTAAAAATGCCGGGGAGACTTCAACCAAAGGGTACATCACCCCCAAAAAGAAGGAAGGCCCCCTTCAAGTCGATGTTGGGGTAGTCAAGAAGTGGGCGTGGGTCAACACCAATGGGATTCAATTTTGGTTGGTAGGTGAATTCACCACCCATTTTGGACCTATTTTAGTGGGGATTGGGATGTTCACAGGGGGTACAATTTGGGTTTTGACCCATAGCCAAGTGGAGCCTCGCTTGTTGGTTCGCGGTTTTGGTGTCCAGCGAGGAGCGCCTGAGCTGGGACTCCTTCAGTAGCTCACCAGTGGAAGCGTGAGGAGCACAGGGTATTGCAGCAACCAGTAAGCTGCTTGCTGAACTTGAGAACTGCACATCAGCATGTAGCCTCCCAACCAACGTGGAAGTGCACTTCTAGCCCCCTTTCCAAGGAGGAAAGCTGTCCTTCCACTGTGCACTTCCATGGTTGGTGTGAGGGCATCTCCCCTTTCTCCGGGTCACCGGCAAAAAAAGGAAAAGAAAGCACGCCCTGAGGCCGAAGAAGAGCACGCTGATCTCGTTGTGAGCCGCCGGGGGCCCGGGCCACGTGACACAGCTGGGCGAGCTTTGCTGGTGTTGCTATGGACCATGGAGCTGTTCATAGGCAAACGCAAGTGGAGCAATCAGTTTGGCTGCAGTTCCAAAATGCCCCTGCCTAACTGCAACAGCTGCTGAAAGGGCTCAAGATACCCAATTTTTGCGGCTGGTCAACAGATGTGATCTCTCTCTCTCTCTCTCTCTGTCTCTCTCTCTCTCTCTCTCTGTCCTCTGTCTCTTTCTTTCTCTTTCTCTCTCTCTCTCTCTCTCTGTCTTTCTCGCTCTCTCTCTCTCTCTCTCTGTCCTCTGTCTCTTTCTCTCTCTGTGTCTCTCTCTCTCTCTCTCTCTGTCTCTTTCTCTCTCGCTCTCTGTTTCTTTCTGACTGTTTCTCTCCTCTCTGTCTCCCTCTCTCTCTCTCTCTCAGTCTCTGTCTCTTTCTCTCTCTCTGTCTCTTTCTGTCTGTCTCTCTCTCTCTCTCTCTCTCTGTCTCTTTCTCTCTCCCTCTCTCTCTCCGTCTCTCTTTTTCTCTCTCTCTCTCTCTCTGTCTCTCTCTGTCTCTCCCTCTCTCTCTCTCTCTCTCTCTCTCTCTCCCTCTCTGTCTCTCTCTCTTGTTTTTCTCTCTCTCTCTCAGTCTCTCTCTCTGTCTCTCTCTCTGTCTCTCTCTCTTTCTCTCTCTCTTTCTCTCTCTCTCTCAGTCTCTCTCTCTCTCCCTGTCTCTCTGTGTCTCTCTCTCTCTCTCAGTCGCTCTCTCTCTCTCTCTCTCTCTTTTGTTTTTCTCTCTCTCTCTCTGAGTCTCTCTCTCTCTCTCTCTCTCTCTCTGTCTCTCTCTCTCTTTCTCTCTCTCTGTCTCTTTCTGTCTCTCTCTCTCTCTCTCTTTTTTCGGGGAAACCCTTTGTCTTCCCAACACCAGGAACGCCTCCCATCTTGCGGGTCCTTCGGGCGGGGCTTGAGGCACGGACCACCGAGCATAGGGTCCACGCTGACCGCGGTTCCATGGTGCACGGGAGCTTCGCCGCAATTTGATCTCGAGCAAAGGATTTCAAGATTGCATGGATGCAAAAGGTACTGTATGTGTTCTTTCTGGTTTTTTCCTTTTTTTTTCAATGCCGCATGAGCGTTATTTTAGAATTTGCCGAAGTGGTGGATTTCGAGAACAACACAAATTGACGGAAGCACGCTTGGAAGCGTTGTAGGGCCGGCACAATGCGGTCACCCTATAGCGCCTGAGTGGTGTCCTTTCCTTTGCAAAGACACAAATTTGTCTCAATTCCAGTCAGCCAGCCAGCCATCAAGCAAGCAAGCCAGACAGTCAGACAGACAGACGGACAGACAGACAGGCACAGACAGACAGGCAGGCAGGCAGGCAGACAGACACAATAGTATGCCAGCAAGCAATAGGCAAGCAAGCGAGGAAGCAACCAAACAAACAGACTACCAGGCAGAAAGCATGCAAGCAGCAAGCAAGCAAACACGCAAGCAAGCAAACAAACAGACAGACAAACTGACAAGAGCACGCAAGCAAGGGAGCAACCAGGCTACAAATTCAAAGCAAGCAGGCAAGAAAACCAACAAACAAGCAATTGAAGCATGTCGTCTGAGCATGAACACTTCACGGCCACCAAAAGGACTAGTGGCAAAATGATAGCAATACTTGTCCCCCTCCCCCCAATTCAGCCAAGCCTAGACATGTTTGAACTGCTGTTTCTCCAGCCTGGCCATGGACCTCATTGTAGTGTTCTGGTGCATCACGGCAAATGAGCTACTGTGGATGGACGAAATCCTGCACCACTTTGAAACCACGGGAATTCGTTCTGCAGCAAGCCACAAACAACGAGCTTTGGCTAGTACTGACTGCAGGTCTGTGCTTGCGCTCACGGAATGCCAAGCAAAATATTTGTGACTCAAGAAAACGAGTGAAAGGCAACATGCTCAGAAGATCAAAGCCAAGCAGAGGCGACAGCTGAATTCGCAGACGTACCCACAGGGTCACAGTGACGTGCGCAGCCATGCCCTCGCACTGCATCGCTTGTACAGACCCTAAGTCTGGCTCCGAACGACTCACTAGCCGCAAGATGATGTAAGACTTGGCAGTCCATGAATTCAGTGAGTCGTATGCGTTCCCCAGCCGGATTTTCAGGCATGCAGTGCAATGGCCTGGCGAAACTGTCTAGAAGGAAGCCGTGTGGAACCTGTGCTTCGTTAGAAGCTCCGACCAGCTTTGCCTTGACTCCACGGCTTCCCGTCTTCTGGCACTGGAGCGTTGCCCTGAGATAAATCTCTTGGGGATTGCTCCAACGTGCGCGCACGGCAGGGCCCTTGGGTGCCAATTCGTTGAAAAGACAACACCCTTTCCTTCTATAAGCCCTCTCCGGCCAGGCACTTGCCGTTTTGTAAAGTGAGGTGCCATTCATTTATACTCCGACAGAGGCTATCCCGGCAAAGCCCCCGAAAGAAAGGAAAAAAAGACACACAACGCGTCTGGGACATGCAGAGAGATGGTTTCCGTCGGGCTTTGCTGTTGGATACTGCTACCAATGCAGCTCGCCTCAGTGCCGAGGCTACCCTCTGAAGGGACCTCGGTTGCAATGTGTGGTAGGCGAAGCCCATGGACGTCAGGACGTCCTCATGACTGCTGATACCCCGCGGCGTTTTGGAGACCCCCACCTGGAGTCGCAAAGTCGCAGGAAACTCGATGCCACATGGCTGTGGGTCAAAATCCCGTACCCCGAGTGAACATCCCAATCCCCACTACAATAGACTAAAATGGGTGGTGCACCTACCCAAAATGGTACCATTGGTTTTGACCCACAGCCACATGAGATCAACGGCAATCCGAGTTAGCCTCGAGCATATCGGCTGGAGGCCGATGATGCGGAGGCGATTTATGCGTCTGCTTCAGCCCTTCCGGATGCACGAGGTTATTGCAAGGCCTCTTGCATCGGGAACAGCGTGGCACAGAGTATGGACGCAGACCCAGTCGCGTGCAAAGCGTGCAGAGACACGCAGCTCAGCGTGTACGCATGGGAAACAATGCTTTTGCGGGTCGGTGGTGGCATATGACGTGGATCGTTAAGTCGAGCCTAGAGCCATCCTGGTTTTGCTCTCTTTCCGGCCTTGTTTCGGCTTTAGCGTGGTGGAAGAACCGGAGCCATGCAGGGACCTCAGCATGGCTGTCTGTTGCAGCGCGAGGGACTCTTCACCAGGTCGCTCTGGAGCAGCACCTCCTACGAAGGGCAGCCCCCCCAGTTAAAACGCGAAACGCGAAGCGCCTCCTTCCGGATGCGCGTGTGATCCGGATTGGCGTCGTGCAAAAAGCCTGGGCATGGCAGGCCCAGCAAGAATGAGTGGTACGAGGGCGAGGGCAAATTCACGCCTGGGAGCTCGGGATCAACCAGATTGTGTAGGATTGGAAGCAAATGAGTCCGTCCCTTTTGTTCTGGGTTGGTACCCCTTTCTTTTGTGGTTGGAAAGGGAAACCAAATGGACACCCGTGAGACCATGTTTGCTGTCCGATTCCCAAAAAGACACCCGATTTAGAACTTTCTGTAGCAATTGGGTCACTCGAGAAGCTTTTCTGCCATGTCTGAAGACATGCACCTGTCTTTGCGCTTGGCGCAAATGAATTAAATATACTAAGCATCGGAGCTACACAGACATTTGTTGAACTGCCATCCGCACAAAGTCTATGCCGATGCTATGAGATTGCACGCATGCTGAGGTTTCCTAATGGCGTGGTCTACGTTGGCCAGTGCGCCGGGTGGGTAAGAGCTTGCCTTTAGGCATTGCACGGTTTCGCCTGTCTACGCAATGCGTAGATGGTATGCTGGATCTTCGATGCGTTTGATCCAGGTTCCGCAAAGGTGAATTTCACGGGCAAGGCGCGCTAGCAGGGGCCTCTTCTTGATGCTTGTGAAGCACAGGGGTGTGAACTTGGTTGCCTCTGCTCGCTGTAGCGTGCCAGTTCTATTTGAAAAAGCACTGGTTGACTGTCCAAATCAAGAGATGCGAGTCATGAAGGCACTGGAAGCTGAGGTCTACCCCAACGGTGGTCGCTATCAAGCAACGCTGCGGCCCTAGAATCGGTCACGTGGCTCTGCATCGCGAAGTGCATGTCGAACTCTCAGGTGGGAGCGGGGCTATGCTGTGGAGGGCAGGCTGGGCTAGCGCCATGGCTTCGGTTTGCTTGAAGGCATTCCTTGCGCATGACAGGTTAAATCGAAGTTAATGCTTTGTGCCGCAGGTATGTCTTCAATGACGGCTTGCTCTACGAAGACAAGAATTGGCAGTATGTGTGGGGTTGCCTCAGCATCCCTAGGTGATCCTTTACAGACCGAGCATGAATCGCGAGAGAACCATAGCATGGCATCCAATGAACCTTAAGGGCGTCCCAACGTCGTCAGCTTGGAATCCCCCTCCGGGTCCGAGGGGTGAGGGGCGGCGTTTGGACAATGCCTCGATTTGATTTCTCCAAAAAACAAACATGTAAGGACGTCCCGACAAGTGTCGAGGTGCTTGAGCGAGATTCAAGCAGACGTCAGACACGAGCAATGTCTTGACAACTAGGTCATGCTGTGTATTTGGTTTGGCTTTTTTGGATGTGGCCATGTTTTACCCACCACCACCCAATTCTCGAAAGTTTCCACAATCGAAAATTTGCAGTGACACCGGATTTCATTGAATTGAGGTGCCCACCATCGGACGGAGTATTGAATTGATGCGTGGCTCTTTTCCATGAACTCTAAGGAGCAGCAAACATTGTGTTTCATACGATATCCCGCTCAACTCCAGATCAGCTCGTTCTTTGGCAATATCCCGCTGCTGGGCGGACACAGAGCGCATCCCGGTTCAGGTCTCAGGGCGACCGCCGCTTCTATACGGAAGTCAAGGAGGGCCCGGGCCGCAGCACGACCGCCTCGCGCCTCGCGCCTGGCGCCTTGCGGGCGCCCTAGGTCTTAAGCCCGCGGGCGAGACGCTGCTGACCAACGAGAAGGTCGGGCATGACTTGGGTATGGGTCAAAGTAAAAGCACCAGGAATTGGACCACAGGCTTTAGTCCTTGTTTGCATTTACCAGGGTTCCATGTTGACCAACACCTATTTGATTTGTCTGATACTCGGACTGGCCAGGTGCCACCGTCGATTCCAAGAGGCACCTTTGACTACGGCGCCGCCCTTTGGAGAGTGGTAGCAAGTGTGGCACCTTTGCAATTTTGCAATGGCGTTTTACTTGCTGCAACCTTTCTGGGTTTGCCTGCTGGCTTGCTTGCTTGCTTGGCTGGCTGGCTTGCTTGCTTACTTGGCTGGCTGGCTGGCTGGCTGCCTGCCTGGTTGGTTGGTTGGTTGGTTGGTTGGTTGCATATTGTTCTGTTTTTGTGTCAAACAGAACAGGGGACTGCAGGAGTCCAGTCGGAGTACAATGTTTCAAATGCTGTTTGTTGTTGTGTTGGTTGCGGTATTTTCTGCTGGTCAAGTGTATTCATGTGCACGGGCACAGCTAAACCACAAACCCGGAAGAAGTAACAGTTAACATGCATTCTGCTGTTTCCGTGTACGTGTAATCACAGACACTGTGAAATCCACACCGAAACCGAACAACCCAAGCGAGAGAAAACCAAGAGCACGCCCAGAAGCATCTATCATTGCGCCAAGAGTCCCCCTGCTCTGTCTTTGGTTGTTTCACCGCGTTTGTGATTACAGACTATTCTATGCACTGGAACAACAGAACATACGCACGGGAAGCGCAGCAGAACTGCAGTACCCAACAATTTTTGAAGCTGTCAATCAGATTGCAGAACGCTTGAACTTATTTCTAGCATAACTTATTTCTAGCATACGCTGTTTATTTTATGTCGTAGCAGATTTGCTTTGTGGTGATGAACAGTTTCGATGTACAGCTCTGTCTGGTGAGTGTCAACCCAAGGCTGGGTTTGTTTGAATGCTGAGTCATTCACACTTTTCAGCTGGCACTTAAATTGTGCTGGCGCCAGTGAATCTGCACAAGTGGTGCATCGCAAGCTTCTGCTCAATGGTCGGACAAGTGCAACTCCACGTGAACACCGATCGATCTCAGCCAACCGATCGACCCCCGAGAGAGCCCATGGTCATTTCGGGCAGGAAAATTGATCAACCCTCAAACTGTGGTTTTAAGGCTAATAAATGCCATTTTTGATTCGCATAACCCTCGTGGTAGAGGCAAAAGTCAACGGGCGAAGATCAGTCGGCCGATTGCCATGCCATGGCCGCAGCTTGGCCCGCGGCGCGCGCGCGCTGGCTCGGGCCCGCCGTGCCGTTCGCATGGAGCGAGTACTGAGGGACGTCGATGCCAGGCTTGGGCTCATCTTCCTGGCGCGAGTCTTCGTTCGGCCCGCGGCTTGGAGTCTTTTTTGTCGCTTCGCTTGCACGTCCCATGCGGAAACAGAAGAGAAAAGAAGGCGGCGGTGCGGCGTTTGTCCCGAGGTCTGAGTGGCACTCCAGGAGCTTTGCCAGGCATCCATTCGCATGGCAGACCGGTGGCTTGGGGTTGGATGCCAAGAGGCCTGCGCTGCGGGCGCGCTGGAACTGCTTCGCCCATATCTACTGCGTCAACCTGGATGACAGGCGCATGCGACGAGGTTTTGCGACGCACTGATCCTCGAACAATTCACGTCTTCAGTTCCTCCCTTGATCACGAGCATCTTGCAGGCCAGAGCGCTGGCGCTTCATGCAGCAGCAATTCGAGGCGCTTTTTTTTTTTCTTCTTCTTCTCCGAGCGATGTTTGCATGTCAAGAAAGGAGCTGCAGATGCCTGCGCAGCGCTGGAGTGCAGTAGATGGTCGCTCTCTAGACTTCAAGGCCCTTGAGGACGCAGCGTGAAGCCCCCCTGGACACTTTGGGAGATGTTTTTTGGCTGTCGGCGTGTCTTTATTTGGAGGATGCCTTTTCTTCGTGGTCTTTTTAAGGGAAGCCAAAAGGACAACCACCATGTTTGGTGGTATTCTAAAAAAAACACAACACACCCATATGGGTGTGGCTCAAGCTTAAACAGGAGGGGTTACGCAGGTTTTGGTCCATGTTTCCACTTACCAGGTTGTTTGAGCCACACCCATATGTATCGCAGAGATCGGGCCAGGAGCTGGTCTACGGCGGGGAGCTTAGCGCGGACGCCGTGCAGCGGCTCTTCCTACCGAACCAGCAGAAGGCCGCCTGCGCGTCTTGCTGGAACTGGGGTCGTTTCGTTTCTTTACTGGTCCGCCTCCCTCCAAAAACCCATGGAAGTTGAGAGGAAACTTTTGGACTTTACTGAAGTGGCTGTGGTTGTCAAAACCATTTTGGGATCCCATTTTGGTTGGTAGGTGAATTGACCACCCATTTTAGAACCTATTTTAGTGGGGATTGGGATGTTCACTGGGGTACGATTTTGATTTTGACCCATGGCCATGGAAGTTGAGAGGAAACTTTTAAACTTTTGGAAGTCACCTTTCCTTTGGGGGAATACCATGGAAGCTGAGGGGAAACTTTTGGAAGTCACCCTTCCTTTTGGGGAAGGTTGTTGTCCACTTCCATGATTGGAGAGAGAGGATAGGATCAGTCTTGAGCCTTGTGGAGAAAGCAGCGGCTCAGCTTGGCCAGGTCTTCGGCATGGATCTCACGCCTGGTGCCATCGGCTGTGCCCTCTCGCACATGCAGACACTTGGACGGGAGCTGGTGCTCTCCGCTTGGGGAACCTGCAATCTTTTGAACTCTAAAGACGACCACGACTAAGACGACTAAGACGACCAAGAAGACTAAGACGACTAAGGATCTGGCTAGACATCATGCAGCGCCACGGGCAAGGCCCGGTTCAGCGATCGGTGCAACCCACGTTAGGTTCGTGACTGTGACTGCAGGCGAGTTTCATGGCGATGAGCGCAGCCAGTTCCTGGTAGCTCGGGGCTCAACCTGGGTGTGTCTTTTCTTAGGAGACCTCCCAAAATAGCTGGTTCTCCTTTTGGGTTCCCTTTAGAGCTACCAAAACGACGGTTTTCCTTGTGGTTTCCCTTTAAAACCGCAAAAAGGGGGTACCGAGCCAGGGCAGACACTTGTATGTTTAGTCTGTTCGGTCTCCGACGAAGACGAAGGCTTGGCTGCGCAGGTTGAAGATGATTGCGAGTTCGTGGCGCACCTTGACGAGGAGCACGTGCAAGCACGCCTCGAGGAGGTGCCTGAGGACCGAAATCTGTCTTGTGCACCCAGCCGGCCAGCTAGCCAAACAGCAAGCAAAGCAAAGCAAAGCAAAGCCAAGCAAAGCAAAGGAAAGCAAAGCAAAGCAAAGCAAAGCAAAGCCAAGCAAAGCAAAGCAAAGCAAAGCAAAGCAAAGCAAAGCAAAGCAAAGCAAAACAAATCAACCACTCAATCAAAGCAAAGCAAGCAACCAAAGCAAAGCAAAGCAAATCAAGCAAAGCAAGCAAAGCAAGCAAAGCAAGCAAAGCAAGCAAAGCAAGCAAAGCAAGCAAAGCAAGCAAAGCAAGCAAAGCAAGCAAAGCAAGCAAAGCAAGCAAAGCAAGCAAAGCAAGCAAAGCAAGCAAAGCAAGCAAAGCAAGCAAAGCAAGCAAAGCAAGCAAAGCAAGCAAAGCAAGCAAAGCAAGCAAAGCAAGCAAAGCAAGCAAAGCAAGCAAAGCAAGCAAAGCAAGCGACTTTGCTTTGCTTTTCGCAAGGATTGGCAGTTGGTCTTCTTGGGTGGAGTTGATGCCATGGGCCTCCAGCCCTTGCTGCAGATCTCCCCGGGCGTGAGGCGTGGGCCCTTGACTCGCTTTCGGTCTTTGTGACTTTCCCTCGGTTGGTTGGCTGGTTGGTTGGTTGCATCCCCATCACCAGCCTCACTCGAACCTAGTGCAACGCGAGAGGTGAAGAAACAAAAGGGTCCGATGTTGACGATGCCCAGTGACTTCCGGCATTTAACTTTGTCACCGAGTGTATCTTGGCATTGTTCAGCAGAAGCCCTTTGCCATGCCTGGTTTAGCAGTAGCAAGTCTCGCCTTGTTTTGAATGGAAGCACAGCTTACTATTTGAGCTTGCGCTCTTTCGCAGTCACAACTTGCAAAGCATGAGATGCATTGGCCGTTCAGCAGCCATTGGCTTCGGCATGCAGGCGAGTCTACAACGGCTCGCGGGAGACAACGGCGTATGCCATCAACGTGGAAGGCCCGCAAAACATCGCACAGAGCGCGCTGAATGCCGAACCTTGCCTCGCCGAAAAACAAATGGCTGTGGGTCAAAACCAATTGGATCCCATTTTGAGGTAGGTGCGCCACCCATTTTAGAACCTATTTTAGTGGGGATTGGGATGTTCACCAAAAATAAGATTTGGCTTTTGACCCATGGCCAAATACGTCAGGTGCCAGAGAAGCGCTAAAGGTGTGCTTCCCCTTGTCGTGGCAGCTGGACACCATGCTGACCATGAAGCCTGGCTGGCTTGAGACCCCTTTGGTTTTAGATCAAACAAGATCAGCACTGAGTCCCTGTACGAGGAACTCTCGCCTCTGCGACCCGCCAATGTGGGTGAGTGAGGACATGCAGCTGCCAAGCTGAATGGAGCCTTTCGGCCTTGCACTCTGAATGAGCTTTTCGGCCTTGCACTTTATTTGAAGTCTTTCTTCTTGCACAAAGCATGTGGCATTCTCGGCAGGTTGTCATACACGGTGAGACCAATGAGCTACATACTTTGGCCACCCCTGGCCCTACAAAACAAGAAGGACTTTCGCCCTTCGGCAGCACTGCGAGTGTGCAAGATGACAGCCCTCGGTTTGTTGTTGTTCATCTTTGATTGTGGAGATCTGGTCATGAGATCCAAGAGACTCTAGGGACTGACGTCCAGAAAGACGAGCACCCGGAGTTTCTTCGCTCCAACAGTGGAGAGCTCAGAGCAAGCCTCAAAAGTGAATGGACATAAACCAAGTCGCACCGAGTTTTGATGTCCATTCCGGGTCGAGGACAAAGCATCAGAGTCACAATCAACACCCGGGCAATTGGAGGGTAGGAAGGAGCACTCCCAGCCAGAAATGGTTGCGGATCTCCGCGATTGTGATTCGTTAAATGGTTCTGGGATCAGGACCATTTTAACACCGATCGCTGATCAGGCAAGGAAGACCCGCACACGAGGGATCCCCAAAAACGTATACTAACATGGCACCTCACAGAGGGTCCCTTCAGGAGCAAACTGATCTTCCAGGTACCCTCCAACAGGTGCTATGTCAGTGGGAGGGAGGGTGTTACGTTTTTGCACCTTATGATTTTGGAGATTGCTCCCATGCCTCAGGCTACGAGGTGATGCCGGAGATGCTGCCGGCCCTTCCGCCTGAGAGACGGGAGCTGCAGAAAGAGGCGCCGGACAGGAGAGAACGGCTGAAGGGATGTCTGTGCCAGCCTCACCTGACTTTGGATGAACACGCAGACACGAAGAATAAAATATACACATATATACACATACACACATATATGTATATACATAGACACATATATATATATATAGACTTTTTTTTTTTAAATATATAAATATACATATGGGTGGTTTTGATTGCTGGTTTGGGTTTGATTTGAAGCCCTGGTTCTTTGTGGAGGGCAACTGGGAGGGAGTCCATTTCGGGGACCCTGCAAGGGTGGCTTCTCTTCTGGTTGCCCTTTAAAAGACCAGCCATTCCGTTTTCCTCAAAAAAGTGACAAGCCACAGATATTATGATATCTGTGGAAAGATCTGCATGTCTCTGTGAGATTGTTTTTTTCTTGACGGCCGGAGCCACCACCCACACCCCAACCCGCACCCCAGCCGCCCAGCCCCAACCCCAACCCACCACCCACACCCCAACCCACCATTCGAGGAGTTACTCGCTGGTTGGAAGCTGGGACGACTGGCTGAACTTCCAGCCGCTCCACTTCTCGGATGGGAAGCTGCTCGCTGAGGCGCGGCGATTCGATGGCTTCTCAGAGCGCCTGATGCGAGGAAGCAAGCGGCACATAGATATGGCCATGGGGCATAACCTATGGCTCCATTTTGGGGTGGATGAACATCCGTTTGCCAGCTATTTTGATGTTCACCAGGGGTACAGGGTTTTGACCCACAGCCACATCTGGGTGGCTCGAGCCCAGCCATCCGGTTCCTTAGTTTTTTTTTTTTGCTTTTTAGTGTTTAGTGGGAATTTCCATATTGAACCCACTATTTTTTTGTTTTGCTTTTTTAGCAGGAGATCTGAGGGCAGGACAGATATGAGATGTGGCGAGGCAAAGCAATCTCGAATGCTGTGGCGAAAGTGACAAAGATCCCACCGGTAGACACGTCGGGTCCCATTTCTTTACTTTCCGGTTTTTCAATGTTGTTTGGGCGTTAACGACGGCTGGTCTCTTAGCCTAGCCCTGAGCCGCAACGTGCAGCAGCCCGCCAAGAAGCCGAGCTGGGCAACCTTCGGTGGTGGAATATGTGAGCACCACAATATATATGATTTCTCCATGTCCTGAAGGAAGGTCCATTTGGAGTATGTTCTCAGCATATTGTTCTCATTTGGATATCTCCTTAAAGAAGCTTCAAGATAGTAGACTTCCCCTTCTGATAGGTTCTCAAGATTCCAAAATGACATTGTCTGGAATGGGTTTCCATCCACATCGCATGCTGATTGCATCCCTTGAAAGTCCGCAAAACAGGGGGGCAGCGACTCCAAAAAGCGACAGCCAGTTCCTGGAGTGGCGTGATGGCTGAGCTCAGGTGGATGTGCCCCCCGGCTCACCAGTGGAGTTCCAGGTGCTGCGAGATGATGACTGGAACCAGAGTCTCTCGGCGTGCCGAGACGAGCTGACGTCGTCCGTCGTCCACCGTAGTGCAACCGGACAAAAAGGCAACCGTGACCACGAATAAGCAAAGCAGCAACCACAAGCCTCATGAAACAGGTTGACACTTCACAGACCAATCTTAGAAGACTCGTTCCAAGACATCTTCGGCCAAGGATATTTCCCTGAGCCCGATGGCAGCATTCGGTTAGGCGGGAGTCACGCCGCCCGGCGGAAGTATGGCGCTTCTTGCTCCTCTTGGGCCCATGGATTGAGTATGACTGAGGATGCCCACGGCAAGAACTGGCGTCAGGCTGTACCGCTGGGGCCGCCAAAGATGCTTGGACCGACTGCTTGCAGCTTGCAAGAGGCAATGTCATGCGTACTCTTTTGGGCTTGAGAAGGACACTCACAAAGGAACCGTATTATCATTATTATCATTATTATCATCATCATTATTATTATTATTATTATTATTATTATTATTATTATTATTATTATTATTATTATTATTTGTTTTTCTTTGAGACAGACCCATGTGCTCTTCATTCGCTTGCCGCTGCGGCACCGTTTGCCGAGCGAAGGGATCGACCCAAGGAAGCTGCATGTGGCGTGGGACCCCACCCCCGGAGGCGCGGCGGTGCGGCGGCCCGGCGGCTTTGGCCGGTGACGACTTGTCGCCAGGTCGATTGGAGCACTGCCTGGGCGAGGCATCTTCACTGGCGCTCGGGCGCAGCTATGCGCTCTCCGGCAGCTGGGATAGGCGCGTCCGGACGGAAGTCCGAAAGCTTCACGTCGATCGAAAACCGGGACATTGGAGGGTAAGGGGCACTCCCCTTGCAATAAATGGGTGCGGATCTCCGCCTCTTCAACTCTTCCCATGCTAAAAATGCAGACCATTTTTGCACCTTTCGGTTTTGATCATGACTCACGTGTCAGATTTGGAGTGCAGGTGGGCCTCGCATACCGCCTTTGTTCACTCCGAGGAGAGACTAGGCTCGGCGGCATGACTTTCATCCCAGGAATCCAGGAGCACGTGGTTTGCAAGTTCGAGGTACCTATGTGGCAGCTGTAGAGGTACCAGCAGGCGTGGACATTGAGCCACCAGGCTGACCTTTCGCGATGCGTGTCACCCGGGGTTCGGGTTCCAGCAGGCTTGGTTCCGGACAAAAACAGCGGTGCACACGGAGGGCGCTGCCTCTCTAACTCTTCCTTGATTCCCTTTGTTTAGCTTCTTCCTTCCTTCCATGTTGTTTTTCTTCTTGTTTCATGCTTGCATGAGGTTTCTAGCAAAGAGACACCTCCCTCCCTCTTCCCTTCGCCTTCCTTTCCCCCGCGCAATCTCAGGTTTCAGGTCGTTTGCCCCGGGGGGGAGTTCGACGAGCGGATCTTCCCCTCCGAGGCGGGCGAGATCCTGGGGCCCCGCGGCGACTCCTTCGGCGACTCGGTGGAGTCAAGAACTTGAGCACCGGTTTGGCCCGGGTTTGGGGGGGAAACCCCAGCCACACAGCTTTTTCTTCTTTTTTTTTCTTTTCTTTTTTGCTTGAATGGGCCCAATCAAAGGTGGAGTTTGGAGGTCGAAACGCAGGTTTCCTGGCTTTATCTTTTTTGCCCACCGAAAGTTTTAAAATGGCAGTGGGCCCAAAACAAGTTCCAACCACCAGCCGTTTTGCTTTTTTGGGCACCAAGAGGTATAATTGGGTATAATTGTGAGGTCGAAACACCGTTGCTTGTGGTTGGATCCCGGCGCAATCGGCCAAGGCCGGAACTGGCGACTTCCTGCGCCCACGCGCCGGAAGACGCTTTGGGCGCCTTTTCCCGTCTTGGCATTCATTTTTTGGATTTGGGTCCAAATTCAACCCCCAGGAGAAGGACAGGTTTTAGTCCGGCACCTCTGTCTGCTTGGCATTTTTTGCATTTTTGTTTGGATTTGGGTCTGGGTCCAAATTCAACCCCCAGGATAAGAACAGGTTTTAGTCCGTTCCATGTACCAGGGCAACCCGTTTTCCCGTTTTGGGAACCAATTTTTGACCCACAGTCATTTATTTTCTGATGTGAGGGCGAGTTGCGCAAGTTCAAGTCCTGCAAGACGAAGGTAACAGTTCCAATGTCTTTAGACCTGCGTGTCTCAGCCCGTGTTGGGTTGTGCGGTCATTCTACTTTGCGTTGATTGGAGAAAAGTAGACTAGCTTTGAGACCGTCATCGCGTACAAAGGTCTACTGGAGCCCGGTGGGCAAGCGGCGCCTTCGCGTCTACTTGGGTCAGGTTGGCGACGTTGGCGTCTGGCCAGGGGTGGCTGCTTAGCATAGATTCGGTTTGGGACTGCGCGGCATAAGCGCACATCGAGAACTCGGTGACACCAATTTTCCTTGGCAATAGAAAGAAACACCGCGGTCCAGGCAGACACTTATTTTGACTGCGCATGTGTCGCAGTATGTATAGTTAGCTAGGTCGGTGGGCGACATTCATGTCGTGCATTGATGCATTGACGCATGTATAGACATGAGCATGTAAACAGAAATACGCAAACAAACAAACGAGCAAGCAAGCAAGCACACAAGCAAACAAACAAACAAGCATGCAAGCAAACATGCAAGCAAACATGCAAGCAAGCAAGCAAGCAAGCAAGCAAGCAAGCAAGCAAGCAATCAAACAAGCAAGCAAACAAACAGACAAATAGCAAACGAACAAGCAAAACAAAGCAAACAAGCAAACAAACAAACAAACAAGCACACAAACAAACAAAGAAACAAGCAAGCAAACAAAAACAACACATAAATAAAGACGCAAAGACACAAAGGGAAGAAGACCCGAAGGAGCAAAATTACAGAAGCATCGAAACAAATAAACATAGGAACAAGGAAACAAAGAACCACAGATAAGAAAAAAAAAGAACAAAGAAGCAAGCAAGCCAGCCAGCCAGCAAGCAAGCAAGCAAGCAGGCAGGCAGGCAGGCAGGCAAGCAAACAACCACGCACACAAACAGACAAACACACAAACAAACAAAGCGCACACAACACACACACACACAACATACACAACACACACCCACACACACACACACGGACACTACACACAACACAGACACGCGCACACACACACACACACACGGACACACCTTCACACATGCACACGCACACACACACACACACACTTAAACTTACAGAAGGGCACGCCATGGGGGCTGCGTCTTTCAGATTCCTGGGTGCTGCGTTGTTCATCAAAAACCAAGCAAAAACAAAAAATATCAACCACACAAACAAACCGCTCATCGTCTCATCTGCTCGTTCGAAACATGTCTTTTTCTTTCCGGTTTTTAGGGTTGGGGAGAAAAACTTAAAAGCCAACGACATTAACAAAAGTAATCCCATTATCTTTATCGGCTCGTTCGAGACCTGGGGTTGGTTAGAATTATCATTTTAAAGATAATAGTCTGATTCAAATTCGATGTAGACAAAGAAGTTGTGATTGGATTTATTCCTTCTCAGTGATTGGATTCATTCCTTGTGAAATTATGCTTAATCTCTAATTTAATTGTACAGCTCTATTTGGAAAGGATCTCCGTCTAGAGTCTGAATGCAAGATGCAATCCGCAGTAAGATTCTGATCAGGTATTTCCTTATTGAGTCCCAGTTAAATCTTAACCAAATGAAACTGTTGTTTAAAGAGCGCCTGTTGGTGGAGATGTGAATTGAGCACGAACAACGCTACAAAACACTGTGTTTTACTGTGTTTTCTGACCAATAGTAGGGCTGGGGCTAGCAAGCAAAAAACACGATTTCGGGAGCTCCGAATTCCTTATGACTCAATAGCATTATCAAACTCTACTCAATTTCAGACTAAATTGAGTAGAAGTTTATAAGGCCAGACTCCAATCAGTAATGATTATTATACATCAAAATATATGTTACGCAGGAACATATATTCAACATTTTCAGCAACGCTAATTTCTTTGTGAAAGTTACTTAATATATTTTACAAGTTCTACTTAATTTCTGTCTCACATTAAATGGCATGTCAGAAGGACAGAATCCAACCATGTTGTATTTTGACCTAAACATTAATTCATGATTATTCTATGTCAACATAAATACTACACAGGATTTCCTAATGGAATCGGCTTTGCGAATCAGTAGACATGTAAACAAGGGGAACTTTAATCATTTTGGGACCTTCAAGTTATTTCTTATGAATTCTATTGAATATATGTATCAAGTTGAACTCAAATTCTAGCTAAAACTAAGAATTAAATAAGGAGCGAGTCCAACCAGAGGAAACAACCGCAGCCCCAGGAATCTGAAAAACGCAGCCCCCAGGACGTCCGCCCTCGAAACATACTCTTACGCAGACACACTCAGTACTTTTTCACTTGCTTGCTTGCTTGATCACCTCACTTACACGCGCACAGACACACCCGCACCCGCATCCGCACCCGCATCCGCACCCGCGCGCGCACACACACACACACACACGGACACATTTGGTGTCAGGTTTCGTGGCCACTTTCCTGTTTTTTCTGCATGCAGGGGCACTTGTGGCCGAGCTGTTGCAAACATGTTACCATTTCGGTCTCCATGCTCTGGCGACGTTCAAGGCTTTGCCCCGAAGCAGCCGGCGGCCGCGTGGGCGGAGGAAGACCGTGCGTGGGGCAAAAGGAGCGTTCTGACCAGCGTTGGTTCTCCGCGCTGATGCTTTCCGAACGTTGGGGGTAGCGGAGTGAGGCAACGACTGTTTTTTTGTTTTTGTTTTTTGATGGGCTGCATCGCATGCTGGAATCATGAGGAAGAGTTCCAAAGATTCCAAGTGTCTTGCAAAGCTTCCTCTCCGCTTGAAGCAAAGGTGCTGGCTACTATGACCCCCTGACAGAGCAGATTATGTCCTATGACGGCAAAGAGGTGCAGTCTGTCGTGAGCGCCAAGCCACTCAAAAACTCAGAGCTTTTGTGACCTTGCAGGTCCTCGGGTACGTCAATGAGGCACGATTGTCAGAGAACCAAGTTGGGTGTGTACTTCGCCGTAGTCCGCCTGTCAGGGCTAGAGTGTTCTGCTTGCCAGGTTGAGGAGAAATGGATCAAGGACCCCAGAAAACCCAGCTGTCGCCCGATCATTTTGCCTATTCAGAGCTGCGTATTCAGCTTCTTGTGCATGGATGTTATTGGCAGATGGAAAGGACCACTGCAGAAAAGGCTTTGGAGAGCTACGAGGCGAGCAAGCCCAAGGCTGGGCGGCGGCCGATTTCTTTGCCTTTTGGTTGCAGTGCCCTTGCTTCAAGGCCCTCAACCAGAAGCCGAGTGAGGCCGGGATTGACTCGGGTGGCTTGGCATTGGTTGCCATTTGCTGAGGCAGAAGATCAGTCTCTGAGAGGCTCAGTCTGGCCTGTGCCGACAGACGTCGGGGCGGGCTGCGGCCAGTGTCGGGATTCTCAAGGGAAAGCTGGCTTCAGGTTGAGAGAGACTCTTGTCGTGTCTGAGAATCCCTTGACTGGTCATAGCTCCTAAGAACAGTCAGTCGTGGCATTGCGCCTGACTTGTGGTGAATGCGCCTGATAGGGTCACCTGCATCGGTTGCTTGTATGACCTATCCATTTCCCAAGGAAGCTGTGCCCGGCAAGCGCCATCGCACGTGTCACGCTTAGGAGTCCACCAGACAAGAATTCGCTCCGGTTCGGCAAAGCCGACGCAGCAAAAAGCACGCATGGAGGACACTTGCAAGCAGATGTTGAACTGGCGGAGCTGCAGTTGTCTCAACTGGTGGGGTTGCTTTTGAGCATGTACAAAATCAATCGGACCCCATAGGAGTTCGAGGAGTTAGGGCACTGATCCCAGAGGTGCAACTCTGCGGTTGCAAGCAGCGTGAGAAGCGATGCCCCTTCCCCATCCGCATTTCATTTGCCACTGTTCTGATTGTTTGGGTTGATGTTGGGCCCGTTGATTTGTGCGTGCGCGCGTGTCGCCGGCGCTTGCGCTTTGCGCTTGCGTGACTCTGACTTGCATGTTTGCACGCAAGACTTGACGACACCAGCTGGCTACTGGCTGCCCAGCCAGTTTGTCTCTCTTTCTTTGCCCCCCACTGCGAGGCAATGCCTTCAAGCCTTATCTCCGCCCTCCCTTGGGCAGAGTTGCCATCTTCGGGGTGGCAGCCGCCTCAATTCTCCCGGATCTTGAATGCTTGGTAGTGCCAATCAGTCAGAGCCGTGTCCTCCGCTCCGCTTTCTCATGCTTCCCTCCTCCACGTGCTCCACGAGCTGCGCAGGGCCTCCGACGTGCTCTATCTCCCATAGCCAGCAGCCCGCCCAAGCGCACATCCAGAAGTGCTCCAACAAGTCAACTTGCCCCCGTTTCGTCGGTTGCGCCCGTCCTTCCAGACAACCTTGTTCAACATGTCTGGGGAAACGCGCCCCTAGGATCATCTCCACTGCTCCATTTTGCATCCAACAGCGCTTGACAGGTGGAGGCGGGTGAGGTGGCTCGTCCGAGCCAGTTATCTTTTGACTCTACGAGATATCTTGAGTGTTTTCTCATATGGGAACACTAACATGGGTTTCTTATATCTATTTCCTTTTGGGTTGCCCGAAAAGGGGGGAAAAACTAAGCCGGGGAAAACAACAAAACGGGAACACCAACACACACACACACAAAACACGGAAAAAGGGCCGGGTAGCCTTTCGAGGTCGTGCCGGCCTCGGTGCGGCCGGAGAGCGGAGCATGCTGATGGAGCAGCCTGCTGACGCGCAAATCAGGGTGAGGTTTGGTCCACGTCGTTTTTTTTTTTTTTTCAATTTACCTCCTAGTGGGCTTGGATGGGTGGTTTGGCGTGTCAACCCCTGATTTATGAAAAACGGGAAAGCGATATGTGTCGAATAGTCTATGGTCCATTTGGAAGGGACATGAAGAAATCTCTAAATTCCCCCCCCCCCAAAAAAAAAAAAAATAACGAAAAAAAGAAGGGGGCGTGCTAGTTCTCCAATGTCGTGTAGGGTAACAGTTAATTGTGACCGTGCACCATGGCTCACGCGGGTTCGAAGGTTGGCCTTGCCTTTCAGCCTTGGGGTCAGAACACGCGGGTTCCATCATGTTTGTTGATTGGAGGGACACGGGCCCCTTTATCGAAATTTTAACGCCTCCGGCTCAGGCCGCCGACGCTGCTTTCTTATTTGCGTCCCTTTGGAATTGTCCCCTTGCCCCCCTTCCCCTCTAAGATCTTTGCCCCCCTTTCTCTGTTGAGACCCTTTCCCCCTTTCCCCCTAAGGCCTGTCCCCCCCCTCCCTGAGATCTTCTCCCTTTTCCTCCCTAAGATGTTTGCCCCCCTTTCCCTGTTGAGATCCTTTCCCCCCTTCCCCCTAAGGCCTTTCCCCCCCTGAGATCTTCTCCCTTTTCCTCGCGCGGGCGGTTGCCGCCGCGGTGGGGCACTGCGGCGGTGCCGCCTTGGGTGCGCTTTGGCTGAAAGTGCCCAACCGGAGCGCCCCGTTTTGTGGCAACAGCCGAGGCGCCGCGACGAAGAGCTGGCGGACTTCTACTTCGCCGGCGAGGGTCGGGTTGACGGCGTGGCCTGCTACTCTGCACCCCACGTAGCACTTGGCTCAAGACCAAAAGCGTAGCAATGGCTGCCAGAACGACAGAACCACACGCCTCTCGGCAGCTAAAAGAGGGATCTCCAATTTGACCCTGTGGGCCTTGACGTGCTGAGGATGGACTTCTTCCCTGAGGTGAAGGCGCGCTATGCTTGTTCTGCCCCCAGACGAGCGCAGCGGTGGAGAAGAAGGAGGAGAAGGGGCGCAGAAGGAGGGTGGGCCCTCCACCTGGCCTAGGCCACCACAGCTGCGTGCAGTCGAGGCGCAGGCTGGCCGTGGCCGAGCCTCCCCTGGGCTCAGTGCATTCGGAGTGATCGGAGAGGCGCAACTTCGGACCTTAAAGCCCGTGCAAGTGAATCACGACAGCGGCCAACAGCAGCTCCCAGAAATCCGAGAAGCCATGCCGGGCCTTTTGCGAGGCCGTCCTGGTTGAAGCGTTTTAGTCTTGGAGACTCCAATCTTCCCAGGGCTCGCCGATTTCTTCTTCCATGCTGCTTCTGCGCCGCCCTCTGCGCCTTCTGCGCCTTTTGCGCCTTTTGCGCCTTGGACGCGAAGAGCAGACTTCCTGCAGCATGATCCTTTTTGCGGGAGGTTCAACATAAAATGAGTCAGCCTGCTTGCAACTGCGTTGATCCAGCGTGATGTCCATAGCGTCAATAAACATTCCCCTACTGCAAGTAAGGGAGCAAGAGCCCCTTTCATTTAATCAATCAATTCCACTTGTAACATGTCTGGCAGGGGCATCCATCCTGGGAGTGCACTTTTTGTACATGTTGTTGCGATGGTGTTGGCAGAAGAAGCAGTCAAACTTGAGAAAGAACTAAACAAGAACTAAGCAAACAAGCGCACAAGACTATGGCAGCTGTCCTGACTTGGGGGGGGGCACAGTCTTGTTGTTTTGGTGTTCTCGAGTTTTTTTGAATGGGAATGGGAATAGTGTGGGGGCACGTTCTATTTTTTACACATTGTTTATCGAGTTTTTGCGCATCTGTTGGAACAGTATGAAAAACCTCAAGAAAACCAACAAAGCAAAGCACGGTCAGCTGTCCTGACTTGGCGGCGTGACTTCTTCCCGAGTTGTTTTGCATTGTTGTATATTGTCCTGTTTCCGGCCTGTTTGCAAGAGCATGTGTGTTCAAGTGGACGTGCGTAGTTCACATCCAAGCCCCAGCAAGCTAGAGATGGTTTCCTCGGAGGTCCCAAATTTGTTGAATAAATTGTGTTTGATTGTTTTCTGATGTGAAAATACAGTTCAATTGCAAAGGAAATCCAGTGAAACATTATTCCAAATTGAATAACCATCGTTTAAATTCAATCTCAAAGTAAGCACAATCCTGTTTACAATCTTTCCTTATTCAATTCTGTTTGTTTTTGCAGTTGAACATTCATTACAACTTGATACATATATGAAGTAGACTTTAGAGGTTCCAACATTGCTGAAACACATAGCGCTGAAATGTTTAGTGATTTGTAATGACGCTTCTGCAGTGTTGGAAAGGATACCCTGTGTAACATTCATTTCGAAATAGAATGACCATTATTTAAACTCGGATTTAAGATGGAAATTTTGGTTCGAGTCAGCTTTTGTTAAACTATTTTTAATTTTAGTTGGAAATTGAGTAAAATATAATAGAGAGGTCCCAACATTGTATCTTTCTAGCCCCATCGCTACCACGGTCAGAAAACACCGTAACACACAGTATTGTGTAGCGCTTTTTGTACTCAATTCGCACCTCCACCAACGGCCGCTCTCTAAAATTCAATTTAAGTTCGAATAGGATTGACATGGGAATCAAGAAAGAAACGCTTGATCAGAACCCTACTGGTAGTTGTATCTTAAATTCTAAAGATAGAATTCCTTTTCCAATATAACTTGACAATTCAATGAGAGTTCAAACATAACTTCACAAGGGCATCATCCATCATAAATTCTATGCCAAATTTAAACTTAGAATATAGATGAGACTTTATTACATTTTTAATTATAGTTTGCGCAGGATTTTCCTTTCCAAACGACTTTCTCTACACATCAGCTAGCATGCAAACACAGAATACTCAAGCATAGGTCAACTCGAATTTCCACGCGAAACAGCACACTCTCGCAGCGTCCCGCTCTCTTG